TCAGATTTTTCAGAGAATCCAAAACAGAATCCAGGGACAAGGTCAGGGCACAGAAAACAGATCCAACAAGGGCTAGGCAGGCTCAAAAAATCAGGAGGCAGAAAAAGGTCAGGATCAGGTAGACAGACAGAAAAAATGCTGGATGCTTACTAGCCAAGGCTTTCAGGCAATCTGGCACTGTCAACTAGAGAGAGGCCTGCTTAAGAAGGCTGGCAAACAGGTGAGAGGAATCAGTGGCAATTAGGCTGAGCAGAGGCAGCACAGAGCAGAAGGGGGAGGGGAATGAAAATACTAGTTGACAGGCCAGAAACATAACATCATTCCAGCAACTAAATAAGGTAAACATGCCCACTGTTATATTCAATGCCAACACAGGAGTATCATGTGATGTTATGCAATAACTTTATATCAGGAAATGTCTAACGTCTGCTGGGATGGTGACATCATCGGCTGTAATTATAAATAATTCTATCTTAAAAACCAAATCAACAGGAACCAGTTTTACCTGCACAAATAAAGTAGCACTGAAAAATAGGCCTGATCATTTTAATTTAATGCGTATTTGCTTAGTTTTTTTCATGTCAGTGGGGTTTCAACTTCATGCAGCTGAAGCTCCTCCTATTTGATGATGCATTCCAGGGTGTAAACACTGTGCATCTGAAATGCAGAGCATTGAAATCCCTGCGGGGCTCACGGAAATCACCACTTCCAATAACTCCTGTGTGAACTTACCATTGATGTCACATGTTTCCAGTTGTTCTTTATCTATATATGAAGCCAGAAGTGTAAGACAATAGGTGATATTTTTTATTCCTGTCCTTGTTTAATAGTTTACTTTGCAACTTTTAGCCATTTACATCATTAGGCAATAACACCTGTCTATGGAGGCAACTAATGGGTGAAGGCTATTAGATAAAGACTCATTAATTGGATTTAAAAGAGAAAAAAACAACTTTAGGGGTTTATTAAATATGCGGACATATTCAATGCTACTAATGGTACCTCAAAACTCCTTTCATACCAACATAAATCTTACACTTCCAGCTCTACACATGAAAATAGAGAGATTTGTAAAACAGTCAAAGTCTGTGTGGTTGAAAGCAGCCAGAATAGTTTAAAGCTGCAGTCTGTAACATTGAGAAGAGAGCAGACTTCGACTGAAAATTTGAAGAAAAACAGGTTTCACGCCACTCCCCCACCCTCTCTGCTTCACTCATGCCCCACCTCCAAGCTCCACCCCTCTCACAGCATCTGCGCGGCTACCGCATGCGACCAGAAGGGGGGGGGGGGGGCGGGATTCAGCGTGTGTGAGCTGTGATTGACACTCCATCAGACGCTCCTCTGGCAGTGATTGGTTGTTTTGACTCGTCCCGAATTATTCTTTCCAGATACAGGCAGTAGGTGGGACCAATTGAAGCAGTTTTTTTCACAGGTTACATATCACATGTACTGCTGTCTGGGCATAGGGACAGTTTTAGCCAATATGACAAAAAAGTGATTTTTAAAAACTTACAGACTTCAGCTTTAAGGTAACCTTGAAGAAGCCTTACTCTTTGTTTTTTTTAGGAAGATCCATAAATTCATAAAACCATCACTTAAAAATACAATAATAAATAATAAAGCAATCTGATTAAATCTTGAAACGGCTAAAGGAAAATTAAGAACATAAGATGATCAACCAATGCCAAGAAAGATGAACATTTTAGGACTTCCTAGATGATCTTTAGAATTTAACATCTACAATATGAAAAGCAACAAACGTCTTATGAAGCTACTTTAAAAAAAAAAACAACTGTTGGGATCTACATCCTTATGTTACCTTTGCTTTATTCTCATAGCAGAGGCTGAACACAGTTTCTCTGTTATGGTGCATTGGTGATGATTTGCATTATTACTAAAGCAGAAGAAAAAAAGAAGATGTTGTTTAAGTGTAAAGTTATTGGTTGGTGACTCTCAGGAGCATCATCCATGATTTGACGGTGATCACCATCATTTCCATAGCAGCTTCTTCTGTCTGTGCTGCAGCTTAGCTAACGCCGTCACACCTTGCTGCTCAGCCTTTCTATCACTATCAGTGTCAGCAGTAAGGAATCATCACAGCTGATTGTGAAGATGTTTTCTGCCATTTGTGCGAGTAGTGCCGGGGCACCTGCGGGGGCGCGTCTGCACACATAGCTTTACTGGGGAGCTGAGAGACCAATGACAGAGTTATAATTACAGAATCAGGCGATCTGTCTGGGGACGTGCGTAATTTCTGCTGATCAGGCCAAACTCAAAAGTCAAGGTGCACGTTTAGAAGAACGCACAAGCTCTCATAAATGCACACAATAGTTCCTTCTCATTGGCTTTCATGCAGATGCCACATCAGCAAAAACTGTCCTGCAGCTCCAGATGCTGCACTTAAGTTTTAAAGCTGAAATCACAAGAATAAGGAGTTGAAGGATTCTAAAACATCTTTATACTAAAGGACATTTATGATTCACCAAGCAGGAAAATCATAACCTGGCTCATAAAAAATAAAAATAAACTTTTTAAGACATACAAGCAGATGTCCTCATCTTCTATCACTCCTTTTGAACATGGTATGAGTAAAAGAGAGCTTCACATGGATGTAGATAATCTAAAAGATTTAAGATCTTTTATAACTGTTTTATTATTTCTTATATCTACGTTTCTGTGCAGGTAGTCGTATGAGAACACTGGCGACTAGGGTTGTCAACTTCTTGAAAAAAAAGGGGCACCTCATGTGTGTGCCAGCTGACCTGATTGCTTTTACCCCTCCTGGCGTGGAGATTTTTTTTAGCCCCCACCCCTTTGTTTGTGAAATTATTTTTTTTTACTTTTTGACTCAAATCTGCATTGATTTGAATTCAGTAGATGCTCTAATTTTTATTTTGTCTCCAGCCTTGTTGGTCCATGTACAAGGTAAACGCAGGGGGGGGTTTACCATTAGGCAATACTAAGCAGTTGACTAGGGACCCAAGTTCCTACCCCCCCTTCAGTATCCACCACATTGGATCAGTCCATTTGTTGCACTTGTTTATAAAAGTCCAAACAAACAGACAGCAGCAAACCATTTGAAAACAAACGTTGCGAAGAGCAGTGTTGCAAACTTAGCGCTTTTGTCGCTATATTTAGCAACTTTTCAGACCCCTTTACCACTTTTATTTAAAAAAAAAAAAGCCTAGTGCAAAATCTTTTTTCTGCTACTGGAGACTTTGGCAACAACATCTAAAAGCAGCAAACTCTGCTCTCTAGAGCAAGTAGATCGGTAACCCCGCCTCCTGCTCTCCTCTATCTTGTCTGCTGTCATGATTCATGCAGCTATTATTTCATACAAATGAAAAATGGAGAACAGATAAGCAGATCATGGCTGGTCTACAGTGAAAAGAAGGACTGGGTTATTTACTTTTGCTGTCGCCTCTTAGGAAACACATGAAGGAGCCATCGGCTTAGCTTAGTGCTTGAAAAAAATTATTCTCATTCCTTTTGAGTCTACAGGAAAAGTCAGCTGAGTACAAAACATCTAGAGGAAAACAACAAGAAAGAAAAGTTACAAGAAGAGAGGGACAAATGCAGAAAAAATAATGTATGTCTATTCTATTAAAGTTTCTGTATCTGTATAATGGGCCTCTTTTATGTGTTGTCTTCTCAATTCAGAGGGCCCCCTACCGGCCTTTGCCTAGGGCGCCCAAATTTCCTAAATCCACCCATGGGTAAATATCAGCACATTTCTTCTAGCAGCTTAGCAGAACAGCCTTTATGTTGCAGTGATTGTAAGTCTCACATCAATCTTTTAGCTTCAGTCCAATACTCTTATCATCACTTTATTTGGATCAGAAAAAAATAGAGCCACACTGCAGCTAATTTTTGTTCGGATTGTGTGGAGATATTTTTTGTTGATTAACATGATTGTATAAGATCAGCACATTTTTTACTAAGAGAAAAATTAATAAATAAATAAAAGAAATAAGTACAAATTTAAGATTTTCCTAAACTTTCAATACTATGCTTATTAACAGTAACTGCACTAACCTTGGTGGTTGAACTGCTATCTCCCTGTTCAAGGTATCCGTGTTGCATCCTGCAGGTTTAAGTCCGCCCTTATTTTAAGTCATGAATAACATATTATCTGTAATCATGGGACTTTCAAAAAGGTCTGTTTTTATGAATAAAATATAATGTTTAATGCAAGATTCACTTTCTTAAAACTTAAAAAAATGAATAATCTGTTTTGAATGATAATTGCAAGGCAGATTGTGCTAAATGTATGTTTAACATTAACTTCATCCTTCAAACGTATTGATATTTGGACTAATTAAGAAACATTTTGTGGAGGCTTAATCATGTATTCCTACTGGGAATAAATAATATTTATTAAGATTATTTATGAATATTATATGATTTCTCATCCCAGTTTGTTTCGTTGGAATGAAAGGAGTAAACCGGTTTGGTTTTATCAGTTTGTCAGCAAAACCTCTGTTATTGCTTTGCACCATTACATTATTAAATCATGATTTTTTCATAGTTTTTTCCATTCAGTCTTAATTTTCATCGTTATCTAAAATAAAAGTTAGGAGCTGTGACCACTCTTTGTCCCAAAGTTAAACTGTACAACTCTGTTATCAGCTCTTCTTTCATCGTTAATTGCTTCCTGCCACAGAACGGGAACATCATTTGTCTGTCAGCCCTCCGGTGCAACTGGGCCCCTCTTTGCACAGTAAAATTCATTTTTGTATTGTGTGAAAGCGAATGAGCTGAAACGCAGTTTGAACAGGATTAGCGTCATGGTCCAAGGTTCTGACTGAGCGCAAGTTTTCCTGCTATTTCTTTCTTCTGCCTCTAATCCTCCTGTCCATCAGCTGTGGCTCTCATGCATTTAAACAGTTTGCTGAATCTAAATGCTCTCATTGGCATTTCTGCATCCACCCTTATAAATATGTATCAGCATGTTAAAGAACTGGAGGTATTGAGCTGTAATGTGATTTCTTGCTCCTCAGGTGCGTCTGCAACATCGACTGCTCTCACATCAGCTTCAATCCGGTGTGTGCGTCTGACGGCCGCTCCTACGACAATCCCTGCCAGGTGAAGGAGGCGTCCTGTCAGAAGCAGGAGCGCATCGAAGTCAAGTATCTGGGCCGCTGCCAAGGTCCGACCCTCACACAAAAATTCATATATACATACTAACATTACATGGTACAAAAAGGGAGGAAGTAGTGTTGAAGTTTAAAGTAGGGTAACATATTTTTTGTTTTTTGTTTTAAATCAGGACAGTGCACCTTAATAAACAATCTTTTACTTCAGTACAGATTGCAAATGAGCCAGATTGTAGCATAGTTGCTAATTTACATCTGTAGTCCTGAGGCAGGAAGACAAAACAACACAAGATCACATAATACAATATCAGTCAAAACACATAGACACACGTTCAGACAATGACATTACAACAATAAAATTAGTGAGTGCATTACTGGGAACTTTTAAGAAACTGTTTAAGGTGCTTTTTAAATGTGCAATAAGTGGGACATTCCCTGATGTTTGTTAGGAGGCTGTTCCAGAAGTGTCTGACTGATAGAACAGTTTGTCCAAAGGTTGTTCTTCTGTGGGGGATCTCCAGTGTTGGGCAAGCTACTTGTCCAGTGTAGTGAGCTAAGCTATCAGTTAATCAACAATAAATTAAGCTTCACTACACTAAAACCACCACCTAAAGAATTATATCAAGCTAAGTTACACTAATGTGTTAACAGTAGCTTAAAGGAATAGTACACCCAAAACATGATTAGCCTTCATTTTCTACTCACCCCCATGCTGAACAACACTCTGGAGTACTTTTTTGATATCTCAAATGCATCTGGAGATCTGGGAGGCTTCTTGCTGTCTGCTGACATTCAAATAATGGAGGTCTATGGTGACTGAGACAGAAAGGTCCATAAAAGTCCACAAAAAACGTGTCAATATTCCTCCATACTGCTCGTCCAATGTATTCCAAGTGTCCTGAGTGGGTAGCATCCATAATTTACTCGAAACAAAGTCATTTAGAATGTTTTTAGAGCATAAACAGTAGTGTATAGGATTTCCTAAAAGCGCGTTCACGAGTCTACGGAAACCGCGGCAGACCAAACCAGATGAAAGTGCGCATTCAGCTCTGCAAAGAACTCATGATCTTCCTCAACACTGAAGTCCTCAGACATTTTTCTTTCGTTGTTTCTTTCTTTGCACAGGTAAACAGCACATTTCTTCTTCTACGCTTGCATTATTGGCAGAGCAGACGCTGAATGCGCACTTTCATCTGGTTTGGTCTGCCGCGGGCAACCTTGAGAAAGAATCTTGTTTGTTATGGAAATAAGATATGTATTGTCTACAAGCACCCTCACACAGGGGAATTGTGTGGCTCCTGCAGGTGAAACAAACTGAGTTAAAACTTTAATAGTGAGTAAATAGCATAAATCAATATAAGAAATAAGAGAAATCTAAATTTTCCTATCACAATACCCAGATTAAATGACAGGATGGGCAAAGATCAGAATAAGAAAAGGTCCTTAGAAACTTTGGAGGAGCTGCAGAGACAAAAAAATTAGTTTGGAGTATTAGTCCCCACGGAAGCTGGTTCATGTGCAGTTCCAAAATTTAACCTTTATGAAAGTTGATGAAAAGAACGTCTTTAGGAGGCCTAGTTTGCATTTTACCCCAAGTTGTTGTGTAGATTTGAGAGTAAACCTGTGAAAAAACAGAGGCTCCTGTTATGTATGATGAGAGGAAAGGGCAAAACCTCCCTTGTTTTGATGCAGGATGTTGATGAGACAAACCACAGAGGGTTTGCAGCTGGAAGTGCAGAAAAAAGGTCTGACTACAAATTTCTAGATGACATTCCAGTCGAATACATTCACGTTTTTTTGACTAAATGAAAAGGTTAAGAAGTATGAATATTTAAAACCACAATTTCAGACTTACTCCAACATTTTCATCCCGGAACCAACTGGTTTGTCGTGTAAGAGGAGGTCAGATTAGTAGATTGTATAAACTTAAAGCTTCTTCTGATAACCTTTGTTGTTCCTGTTTGTAAGTGCTGTGTTTAATTTGGTTTCCTTTTTTTTTATCTTAATCATAAACACAACTTTAAAGCTTCATCAAAGAACCTGACAAAAAAAAAAATGTAAAGCACATGCAGAAAAAAAAAAAAAAGAAAGAAATAATAACCTCACAGTGAAGGAAGGGGGCTTCTTTCATGGCACCATCAATCTGGAGGAACAAAAACGCAACCGCAGCTTCAAATGCTCGTCATATATTCTCTGACCTCAGACCAAAAATCCATTGGAATATTATGATGACGATGATTGGAAAGAGATTTGCTTGAGCCATTCAGGGAAGAGGAATTCAATGCAGCGTCAATAAATTGAGCAGAAATGCATTATTCCCTCTGATGTGCGCGCATATTGGGCTCCTTTCTCCTCTTTGTCCAGTGGATTACATTAGAGCATAGCGCTCCTGACTTTTCTGCAGACTGCTTTGCATTCATAAGCATTAGGTGCACAGGTGCAGCAGGCCTTTGTTGGGATGATAATTCCCATCCAGCCTCCTTCGTTCACAGCACCGCCGGTTTGAGTGTGAAGGCGGTAATGGATGTGGCTGCAGCTTCAGGAGAGGTTATGATGACCTGAGCTGTGCTTTAATGTGTCTTTGGCCTTTCCAGGTGACATCACAACTGGGAACAAAGGAGACGGACACTTTCCACACATCGGCCCCACGGGTGAGTGCTCCCGTAATGGCTGAGGGGAAGAGGAGGGTAGTACATCACTTAGACTTTTTCCACTCCTAATTACAATTATTATCCTCCACATCTTTTTTTTTTTTAATTATTCAGTTTTTCTTTTCCTATCAAAATGAGTTTCTTCACAGAAAAGCACAGAAATATATGCACACAGGTGGCCAAGGGCATATGTGATTTTAGGAATGGTCTTTGTGTGTCCGTGTGAACAGAGGACTCAGGGACAGGACTGGCCCGCGGCTTGTACATCCCCTGTCCAGATCACTACAAGAACTACTGTGTCCACGGGGACTGTCAGTTCCCCAACATGCTCTCCCAGCCGTCCTGCAGGTAAACACCAACACACACAGCAGCACCAACAGGAAGTTATGATTCAGTGTTGATGTTTTTCCTAAAATTAGTCATACCTAGCCTGTTTGTTTTCACTAAGCAATAGCGGCATAATAAATTCCTGATCCTGTCTCAATGCATTTTAGTAGGTTTTAGTTTTTACTTTTTTTATATACTTTCTGGAAATATTACATTTTTAAAAGGCAGGAGTTCTCTATCTTTTTTTCGTAAAGTGTAGGTGTGATTTCTACATAGAATAATTGGCCTAGAACTACATGTAATAAAGAGATCCCCTGAATTAAGATTAAAGGAAAAGAACTGTTACTTTGCCGATGTAACTCCTCCCAGCCTGTAAGTGGCGCACGTGCGCTCACTGGTCTTTTTTTCAGCTGTTTACCTGCCGTTCAGCAGGTCCGCTAATGTTGATGCTAGGCTTTGGTTAGCTTTGACAAACATTTACCACTGCAAAAACGATGTAGAATAAGTCAACATTTCTTAAATTAAGTTTATTTAGCCTTAATTTCAAGACGATTTGCAAATGGAATGAGTGCTTTTACTCTTATTAGATAACATGCACTTGAAATAGGAAAATGCATTTATTTTTTCTTATTTTAAATGTAAATCGTCTTGTTCCATTGGCATTCCAGTGTGTCACTTACCTCCTCAATTTAGGTCAAAATGCATTTATTTTAAGAAAAAAATGACTTATTTAGATAATTTTTTTTCGGTGAACATTGCCCAGTTGTCTCTGTTACTTCTGAGTCATTTTGCTTCCTTATGTCGGCACCAACGCTGGAAAGCGTTACTTGAATTTCAGAAATGTAGCGGAGAAGAAGCCATTTTTCTGCCCCATCACTGAGCCACTAGGATCTAACAACCTCTGAGCTCCGTCTCACACAACTTCAACCTTCTGTTCTTATTGGTTCAGAAAACATTCCTGCAAACATTCGCACTCATAACCAAAAGTAAATATTTAGATATTTTAAAATTTGTTTAAAAAAATTTTACTATTATTTTGGGGTTCTTTCCTATAAAATTTATATTTATTCCTCACCACTCAGGCTGTTTTAGAATAGAATAGAATTCAACTTTATTGTCATTACACTGTCACAAGTATAGAGCAACGAAATGATTTCTCTGCATTTAACCCATCCCCTTGGGGAGCAGTGGGCTGCCATTGTGCGGCGCCACTCAGGCTGTTTTGTGGATGTATTTTAATAAACAAGTTGTATTTGTGGCTTTTAAGCCTGTAATTGTTGTTTGTGACCATAAGATGCTCTTATATCCAATATTAAATTAATCAGTTTGAGCTTGAAAGCTTTTTTTTTTCTACACCAAAACTAACTGACTTCCATGTCTTGGTGTGACAGCATCCTTAGCCTCTTACACCCTCAGGGGGTATAAATAAATTTCTGCCTGACAAAAACACACAAAAGTAAATAACTTATAGCCTCAAAGCTATTAGATTTAAGAAGAAACTTTTGGTACCTCTGTAAAGGTAAGATGTCATAGAATGGTTTTCTGGTGTCAGCACCATTGTAGCTTTGACCCTGCCTGAAATATTAGGGACAAAATACAAAATATTTTGCATTTTTTGAATCTTGCCAAAATTTTATTTGAAATAAACATTGCAAAACACTAGCAAAATATTATTTATAGCACAAAAAAGTAGTACAGACTTTTAAATCTAAATGTTGTGTAAAAATATACCAAATTTGGACTCAATCAGATGAATCATATTTATTTTAGAATGGTATTAGTGAGAAATTTCTTAGGCGGAGAGGCCATTTTGGCACATTTATCCAAAAATGTCACCAAACTGTGCCAAATGTGTTTTTTACATCAATACTGGGGGTTTGTTAAAATTACGAGGTCACGTAGCAGCTGGACCCACCGGTGGGTCCGTAGGGTTCTAGGGGTTAAAAGGAAAATAAACTAAAGAGTTTTATTCTTTAAATTAAAGAAACAAGAGTTAAGTTACAATGAGCCACTGTAGAGAGTCCAAGGAGCCAGTTGAGGTTTGGTAGGTGCAGATTGCAGATCCTGTAAAGGGCGGATTATACTGCAACTGCACACATCAAATGTCACTTGGGTCTGGTCGAAAACCAGTGTTGTTGGTATGCTTCTGCAACGTAGGTCTGGAATTTCAAGGGATGCACAGCAGTTTCCCACCAAAGCGCAAGGGGGAGCCTATTTGAGAACTCACGAGAGTGTTTATTTTCCAAAACATGTCTGAGGTGTCCAAGTACAAGTGGTTGTACTTCCGAAGCTCCTCAACCTTTCGTCGTGGTTATTAATTGTTGTTTTTACTCCTCGGTTTTTAAAAATGGCGCACCCTGGCACCGAATCGAGTAGGAAGACCACACAGACAGCCAGAAAGGCATATCAATGACCAATCACAGCTGCTTTTTGTCTGCACGCTTCCACTTGAGGTCTTTGCGGGTTTGTGGCGGTCCGACGCTTAGTCAGGATTTCTTGAGGTGCACGACCACGCCCCCCGCGCACGCGCAGTTGCAGAGGCTATGCGTCAGAAGTATAAATTGGCCTTAAAGCTGAAGTCTGTAAGTTTTTGAAAATCACTTTTTTGTCATATTGGCTAAAACTGTCCCTATGCCCAGTCAGCAGTACATGTGATATGTAACCTGTGAAAAAACCTGCTTCAATTGGTCCCGCATACTGCCTGTATTTCAATCTGGAAAGAATAATTCGGGACGAGTCAAAACAACCAATCACAGCCAGAGGAGCGTCTGATGGAGTGTCAATCACAGCTCCCCCCCTCTCACCGCTTAACCTGCCGCAGCGCCCGGCTGCCGCAGTCAGGAGGACGCGCGTGGAAGTCATGGTGCAGCGACAGCCACCAGCGAAAGAGAAACTGCCCTTACTGCCCCTGCCGACAACTGCTTACACGGCAAACTTCGGTATAACCAGCATCTTATATCTAGCTGCTTGGAGGTGAGTGTTATCGCTCTTACCGGTTCACACTCCATGCCGTGTACGCTGCTTGGACGCTTCTGGTCGCATGCGGTAGCCGCGCAGGTGCTGTGAGAGGGGTGGAGCTTGGAGGTGGGGCATGAGTTAAGCAGAGAGGGTGGGGGAGTGGCGTGAAACCTGTTTTTCTTCAAATTTTCAGTCGAAGTCTGCTCTCTTTTTAATGTTACAGACTGCAGCTTTAATCCTTGTATTTGTGAACTGAAGAGCTAACAGAAATCTCTCAATTCAGTTTTCATCTCCAGGTCCCAAATAAACCGATGCACCACCATTCCCAGCACCAAAGATCCTTGTTTTCTATATTCCTCCATTCTGATATGTAATAGTAAAATACATTTAGCCCAATACTGGCAGGTCTGATGGTTAATTTGTTGTGAAATTATTGATTTTTCTCAGCTTTATGTGTGGGATGTGATACTGATGGTTTTACTGACTGTACAGGTGTCCTTATGTAACAAACAAATTATATCTGTATCTGTGTGTAAACAGTATTCAATCCTCACAGGCTAGTTGCTCTCCTCACACTCATCTGCAAACTAAGATAAAAGTGTAACACAGCTAATAATGTGTGAAATGTTCCAATCGCTAGGAAACGTTGGACCTAATTTACTTTGCTAATAAGAAATCAGGCTTGTTTATCTGAACTGAATATAAGACAGCGGTGTGCTGAGAGGAGCAAACGTAGGAGATTCCCTCCCGCTGAGGCGATAAGGCGAAGATGAACCGCTGACCAGTCAGACGTGCTGCTCTGCTCCAAATTAATCCCATGTTGGACTTCTCACAGCTTAATAAGGCTGTGGTGTTCCCCGGCCCCCACGCATCGTGATCTGGGATTCTGTTTGCCCATCTGCAAGGCGGGCTGAGGGGGCGTCAGCAATCACGGCTCTCATTTTGGTTTGCATATGTGCAGCACGAAGTGGAAAAAGAGTTCTGTGACGTGGAGCACAAACACCAGAGACACAGATGAGCCACAAAATAAATTAAGTTCTACAGCTAATGCAGTGAAGGGTTCTGTTGGGAAAGATTAAGGTCTGCCGGAACTTTTTATAAGGTGCCTCGTGATGTAAAACAGCATGCATTAGACTAACTGTTAAGCGCAATGCCCAAACTGAATGTATGGTCAAGAGGCCTGAATGTGGACATCAGAACATGAGAATTCCCATTCCTCATCGAAGAATGGGATTAAAATTATTTTATGCGATGCTGTTGTTGGCACCAGAGCACCCGGTCTGAGCAATTTACAAAAAGTGATTTTCACCCTGAAGTATAGAGAATGAATAAAAAAGGGAAATAATCCAGTGAGCTCTTTTGTTATATGGTATATTAATGTCAAAGGTCAGAAAAGAAAGGTCAGACTTTTTTCTAGATGATAAAATAACTGCGGCTGCAGCGGACCAAACCAACTGCTGTCAGCTAAGAAACTGGCTCATTGCAGATTAGAAAAACTAGCTTAGGCAGATGAATTTTGATTAAGCTGAAAGGTTCAGATCGTTTCTACAGAATTTGATGTCATTTGGTGGTTGTGGTTTAAAAGAAATAGGGAGATGTATTTTCCTGAGACACTTTGATTTCTAGTAACGATTAATTATGATTTGAAGTCGCACACTACCTTAATATTATCAATCTTCCATGGCTACATCCAGTAAGATGGATAAATAATAAAACTAAAAGATTTATTCTGATTATAAATGTATGATGAGCCAGTTTATTCACATCCATAACCACATTGTGTCGATATTTCCCTTAAACATCCTATGAATATAAAAGGTGGTAGTTGTACTGTAAAAAACAACTAAAAACATAAAGAACTAATATGATATGAATACTTTTGTAAAGTACTGAGCACTACTAACATTTACTATGTCAACAAAAACAGAGGAAAAATACCTTGACTTTACATCCTGGGGTCCATTTCACGAAGCAGGTTTGAGAAACTGCAAGACAGGTGTCTTTATGCAGCTAACGACCTCAAACAGGTGCATCTAATTTATGCTGCGTTAACACTGGACGCA